CGGGACGGGCACAGCCCATTGGCCGTTCCTGCTCTCCCGCCGACCGCCCAGGTGGAGTCCCAAGCTCCGCGCAGATCCTAGCGCTTGGTCCCCAGATTGGAAGGTCCCGGAGGCCAGGGCCTGGGTCTGCACCTCCTGTCCCTCACATCGAGGGGCTTGCGTGCCCTCCGGGCTCTTCCTCTTCCGTCCTCCTAGTCTTGGAGCTCGGTGCCCTCTGCAGAAACCGATTCCCGCCTTCCTCCAACCCCTCCCAACACTGAGCGCCAGGGTAAGTCTCAATTTCTCTTGACATCAAAGCGAGGTGAAGAGTAGGAAACACCAGAGGGGATTTTGAACTTGATAGTCGGACAGGCGGGTCACCACCAGGAGCCCGAGAGCCAGTGCTTTCACACTTACCAGTTAACTTTACTGTCTCCCCAAAGAATAAGCTTTTGGAGTCTGCGGAGAGTGTGAAGATGGCCAAAGATCAAAGACAAGGAAGTACAGGAAATACGGGTAGAAAAGCTCATTGGCAGGGATGTGGCAATGAACCGAGGGGGACTTGATCCCATGCCCAACCTTCTCCCACCGTCTTGGCCCTGCTGTAGCATGGCGGGAGGGGCCCAAGGGGAGCCTAGATCCTCAACTGTTCTGGGACCTGGGAGCAGACCCCAAGCTCAGGTGCCCAGAGCAGGACTCCTCCTACAGCTCCATTGAGGGGTCTCCATCTTAGAGGCCAAAGGGAGGGAGGGCCAGGGAAAGGGCTGCTTCACTCCTTGGGTTTACCCACCAGAGCAGGAGGGTGAGGGGCCCTTGTGCCTGCCCTCTCCCATCGCCAAATAAACCATTAGAATCTCTGCAGCTGCAGGAGCTTCTAGACACAGATACCACACCTAACCAGAGGGCTGAAGGGGGTAACCTTTACCCTGAGGATAATCAGCTACCGCCTTCCCAGCACCTCTGCACCCTGGAGATCCACAGGATGGCAGATAACCTGATATCATCTACCATATCACCCCTGAGGCACAAGGTCATTGTCATTTGAACCCTGCTCAGATGGCAGAGTTCAACCACCTGACCCCCCTACCCTGCCCCAGCAGAAAGGAGAGAAAACAGGTGTTCCAGCTGTTATTTATTGACATACAGGTAGGCTCTATAGCAACAGGCCTGGAGGCGGCTGCAGTAGTGGGGAAAATGGAAGGTGGAGAGTGGAGTGTTTGTCTGCAGCTGAGTGGAGTGCAAATACAGAAGAGCACAGTGCACAACAAGGTGGGAGTACAACAGGTGAGGGGGTGGGGAAGCAAGGAAGGGCCAGGGCCCCTGATCGTGCTGGCTGACTCCTGACCCCAGGCCAGAGTTGGGAGTTCCATTTTCTACAGGATCTGAATAGAGTACACAAAGGAGGGGGAGCTGTTGCCCTCTTACAATAAGCTTGGGAGGTCTCATTCCTCTTCGTCCCTTGCTTGGGTGGGGCCACATGATGAGCAGCCAGCCTCTGGGCTACCCGCCCTGAGGGTCTAAAAACAGCCATGTTTACAGAGGCATTCGTCTTGTTCCCTGGTGTCCCAGCCCACCAGTGCCACGCTACAGCCCAGAGTGAGCACTACAAGCATTGCTGGCCTAATGGATGGGTTGGGGGAGGGGATAGGACAGGGGCTGGAAGAGGGGCTCCAGGGTGCATCACGGCACAGGCACTACACGCATGGTGTTGGTGAAACCAGAGCCAGGGCGCCACCCGGTCAGCACAATGACCACATCTCCCTTCTTGAAGAATCCTCGGGCCTTGCCTGGAGGAAAGAGAGATTAGTGAGTAAAAGCCAAGCCAGGCAGGTCCAGACACCTGGGCGACTGTCCTACAGCCAGAGGCAGCAAACGGGACTGGATAACCATTACTTCCTCAAACCACAAGGTGGCGCCAGCCTCACAGCTCAGGCAACTGGGAAGAGGGAAGCGCAGAGATTCACAGGGACATATATTCTAGCAGGTGGAGAGTCTTGCCAAAGGTCAGAGCTAGCTACTTCCTCTTATCCCATGACATCCTACTTTATACCGGGACACAGGCCACATCAGTACAAAATTTGTGTGTGTGTGCCATCCCACAGTGTAGGAGCTCCAGACAATTTCATAAAGAAAAAACCCTCAGTAATGAGCACATGCCAACAAACGGACAATTTTGCTTTGCGCCCCAGACTGGAAAAGTGAGGTGAAGAACGAGTTGCTCAGCCTACAACTCAGGCCCCTCTTCCATCCTGGGCTCAGCCCGGCTCAGCCCAGGACTTCAGGGAATGGGAGAGGACTGAGAACACTACCAGTGAGGGTGAGGAGTGGTCAGCTGGGCCTCTTGCCTCCCTCAGGCCTACATGTTCCCCTTTTACTTCCCCCAAACTTTCAGGGTCTCAAAGAAGCCAGTGCTCAAGAACCACCACCCCTCCAGCTCTAGCCCTTGCTCCCAGCCACATACCAACATTCATGGCCAAATTCACCCGGAGGTCCACATCTTCAGCCCAGGCCTCCTGAACCGGGTCCTTACACAGCACAGGAAAGATGCCACGGTACAAGTGGGCCTGGCGCGCTGTCTGGTGATTCCGTGTCACAGCAATAATGGGGGCACGTGGGCGGTATCTGGCTACCTGGTGAGCAGACCTGAAACAGGATGGGGGACAGGCAGAAGAGATCATTACACAGTGTCCCAGGAGCCTCTTGGGAAGCGCCTCAGGGCCTTCAGCAATAGTTCACCCCTAATCCAATTCACTATGCCATCCTGAAGGCTCTGGCCACTTTAACATCTGCTCCCTGGGCCCACCTCCAAGAGCAAGGAGATGTTCCTAAGGCTGGGGCAGCCCCTCATCCCACAGCCTCCCAGCATGCCATGCTGCCCTTTGCCCTCCACCCCTTCCCCCTGGCCAAGGCCCCAGGATCATCCTAAGTCAGCAAGGTCAGTCTCACTCACTTACCCCACATGGACCATGGCTGGCAGAACCCCTCCCACACCCTTAACTTTTCCATTCTGGCACAACCTCATTGGCACCCCTTCCTCTTCTGCCAGCAACAGCTACAAGCCAAGCAGCATGTGGAGAGCACCTGACTCTTGACATCTGAAAAGAACTGGCTGCATGGCCCCAAGATGACAGCAAGACAGCACAGTGACCCTTTCTGGGCTGGAACCTACTTGTCTTTGGGGCTCAAAGACAGATGGCCACCAGTGTACCAGACAGGGAAATAGTGAACAGTCCCTGGGAATCAATAACTTAATGCTTCTCTACTGCTGTGCCCTCTCCCCACATGTGCCCCCAGGGCAGTGAAATAGTCCCAGCAACGGAACTTTAGAGCCCGAGAGTCAAGCTTAGAAATCTGGGTGCTATCCAGGAGGCAAGAACAAGACAGGGGTGTAGTGTGGGAACAACTCTGTCAAGGCTCCTCTAGGAGGCAGGGGACCTCTGTGAAGCCCCTATGCCAGGTCCTTCCTTGAACATTGATTGACACCATACTTGTAGTGGCAGAGGTGTCTCCAGAGTTGGGGGGGGTGGCTTGTTGAAGGAATCAGGCCCCAGAAGGCAAGCTATGAGGACACTCAACAGGTTGTCAGGGGAACTTAAGCCATGTCACAGCAGAGAATGCCCTCCTTAAGGCCTGGACTCCATACAAAAACTTCATTGGGAAGCAGGTGCTGAAGTCAGGATGAGCTGCATGAAATCCCAGAAGAGGAAAGCTAAAAATAGCCAAATACCAAGGGCTGGACCTTTTTACAAAGGTCAACCCTAATGGTCAGAGCTGCTTAGCCAAGAGTAGGAGGCTTGAGCCCTCTGTTGAGGGCATCTGCACAGATCTTATGTCCCGGGTATGCAGATGGCCCACCTGCTGCTGCTCCTCAGTGCACGGACACTGCCTGTCTGACTCTGCTCTGGCCTCAGCTCTTCCAGGAAAGCCTAGCTACCCCATGAGCAGTCCCGGGTATGCAGATGGCCCACCTGCTGCTGCTCCTCAGTGCACGGACACTGCCTGTCTGCTCTGCTCTGGCCTCAGCTCTTCCAGGAAAGCCTAGCTACCCCATGAGCAGGCAGGAGGAGCACACTCCCAAAAGAGGAGAGTGGAGGACATTAACTCAGTGTCCCGGGCTAGGAAGGGATCCCAAGTCCAAGGCCAAGCACAGGCCAGCGTGTCCTCAGCCTGGCTGCATTGCCCCACAGATGCCAGCAAGACAGCACAACAACTTTTCCTGGGCTAGAACCCACTTGTTTGGGGCTCAAAGACAGATGGCCACCAGTGCACCAAATGGGGGCAGTGAAGAGCACTAATTTTCCCAACTTAATTTTTAAAGAGCACACAGTAGATGGAATGAGCAAAAATGGTGATCTTCCAATGTTTTAGAAGACCAGCTTTTAAATATCAAATAACCACTCATAGTATAGTCACCCTCTCTGTTGTTATGCAAAAAAACCCCAGTTCACCGTGAGGGTGTACACTTGCTCTGGATCCAAATGGTCTAACACGCCTTATGAGTGCTGCCTCAAGTCCTTGGGCCTAGGTGGCAGGCAGAGTGGTCTTACCTTGGCCCAGTGCCATCTGAATGCTGTTCAATGCACTGCTCCCAGGACCCCAAAGGAGAGGTGCACAGAGCAGGGCATCCCAGGGAGCCGCTGCTGCCTCCTACCTGCCAGACTTGGTGAGGACGATTATGGCCCCACTGCAGCACTTGAAGGAGGCCTCCACGGCGCCCACGGCGGCGGCTTCTGTGGGGTCGCTGGTAATGGGCGCCAGGCGGCGGAGCTCCTCAAATAATTGCAAGTGGTAGATGGCGGCCTCTGCCTCACGGGCAATCTAGGGGAGTAACATCCGTCCAGAGGGACGAGAGGGGGACAGAGCGTTGTCACAAAGGGAGAGGGAAGGGAGAGTCACATGGACAGCTGGTGAGGAACATGTCCCTGTACAAAGGCCAAGAGGAGCCCAATCACTGGAGATTCTGAGGTGAGCAAGATCGAGCCTGTACAGGAACCCATCCTTCACCAGGTGCCTGTGACCTCTGCTGTGCCTACTGATCCATATGACCTTTGGTCCTGCCCTGCCATGACCTCCCTGACTGTCTTCCTGAAGATGGGAAAAGAGGCTCTGAGCCCAGGCGCATGGCTGGCCTGGCCATCTTCTCCTAGAGCAGCTGGAGCAAGAGCTGGTTATCCTGCAGTGTTACCTGCCCTCAGGGCCCTACCTGCCAGATTCCGTCAGAACTATCAAAGCTGCTGCTAAACATTTATAAGAAGCCTCCACGCTGCCCATGGCCATGGCCTCCATGAGGTCTGTGGAGTGACTGGAGGCTCGCACCAGTTCTTCAAACAGCTTGCGATGGAACATGGCTGCCTCAGCCTCACGAGCTATCTGTAAGGTTTAGGGGAGGGGGGCAAGGAAGAGGGAGGAAGGAGGAAAAAAAAGAGAGACAACACACGGAAAGACAGAATGGGAATTAATCAGAGGAAGGTCACTGGAGGTTAACTGGCTAATTGTGTCCTTCAGGCAGATACAGAGGCAGGGTGGTCAAAGTCCAGCTGTTCTGGGAGGTGGAGAGAATTATCTGCCTCAACTGCTACTTCCCCTCCAATACACGGGAAATTGGTTCTGGAAGGATCTTTTTGATTGGGGGTGGAGGGATATGGCGGTAGGCTCTAGAGCCTTGGCAGGGAAACACGCCCAGGCTGGGCTACACCATTCCCTGGCAGAGGACTTGACCACACTGCCTCATGACACGACTCACAGGAAGGAACAGGCCTCCCCTCCTCACATGGCTGTCTGCTTCTGGCAGGGCTTCCTGCCCAGCTTCCATGCACATGTGGAGGGAGTGCTTGCTCAGCTTCAGGCATAGAGATTCTGCGAGCCTCGCCCGTGGCTGCCTGCCACGGAAACAGACTGAGTCAGACAAAGCCAAAGCTTGGCAGCTTAGCTGAGTTCTAAGCAGGGGAACGGAGACCTCTGGTTAACTTGTGAGGGGCACACTGAACAGCCATGTGAAGAGACAGATGCCTGTGGAAGCATGCGGACACATTTAACAAGACACTTGATTAAAATCTGATTAAAATCGTCAGGAGAAAGCCTTTGAGTTATTTACACACTACCTGCCCAGATAATTAGGAAGAAAACTTAAGCTTTTGAGGATTATAAGAGGATTATAATGCAATGGCCAGCATCTCAGTGAACAATGGGTGAAGGAAGAATCAGTAAAACCATCTCATTAATTTGACAGTATAAGCAGACGTGGCAAGATCTACTAGGTTAAAGGAGTTCTTTCTGGAAGAATGGAATGCATGCAACCCAAAGGACAGAGGACATGAACAGGAAACAACCATACCTGCTACTGCCTAGCTCTTAGTTATGGGTCATTAATTGCATCAGTTAGACCCAGGAGAAAGCAGTGAACAATAAAGAGGAGAAGCTGTCGCCAATGTTAAATGATGACACAGAAAGGAGAGGCCTGCACCACCTGAAGGGACAGCTACAGCCTGGCCTAGACCCCATACTTATCTCCCGGGCAGTACCATACCATCCATGCCTTGCTGTTCTAAGATGTCTGTTCATAGGAAAGACCAGGTTATGGAAGAAAGGACACAGAATTCAGAACCTAGAGACTGAGTCTTAGTTTCTGACCACACTACAAGCCCCAGATGGAGATCTATCCTCACCTCCTGCTAGATGGAGCACTATGTCACAGGAGACAAGACTGGTTTTGGAGTCATCAGACATGGGTTCAAACCCAGCCTTTACTACCACGTAACTCATCTATAAACTGAGATTATGGGAGTTATGAAAATTACATCAATGTACACACAAAAGGACTTATCAGACCTTTAGTAGCAATAGCAGTGAATATTTAATCCTAAGGCTTTAATGAAACATATCTCATCTAATCCATTTTACAGATAAGGTCATGAGAGGCTGAGTGACTTGTCCAAAGACTCATAAAAGTCCCCACAGTCTAAGTGGTTTCATGATTCAGTAAATCGAGTCAAGGTCAGCCACCCTCCCACCTCTGAGGCCATGAGGTCAGACAATTAAGCAAGGCAATTAGAGAAGGGACATGGGGAGAGACCCACAAAAGGCAGTCACTCTAGAGGTGACTGATTCAAGGTACACTGTCTCCTGGGAGAGAAAAGCACCTTCCCACCATGGGGCAGTTGTGAGAATGTACCAAGAGTACCTGAGCATCCAAACAGCTAACACATCGCGCAAACAGGATGACACAAATGTCCCTCGGAAAGGGATTGATCTGTACCGATTTCAATATGGGGAAATCTGCCAAGAATGCTGACAGCCCAGAAGACATTGTTAGTCAAAAACAAACTCAGGGGCCGGCCCGGTGGCGCACTGGAGAGTGCGGCGCTCCCGCCGAGGGTTCGGATCCCATGTGGAGACCGGTTCCCGCTCACTGGCTGAGTGCGGTGCGGGCGCAACACCGAGGGTTGCGATCCCATTACCGGTCAGTAAAAAAGACAAAAAGGAAAAAAAAAAAAAACTCAGCTTACCACTGAAAGAGTGTTTAACATAAAATGACATGTCTTCTCTGGAAGTTGTTTAAGCCCAATAACAGGATACATAGAAAGTGAAGGAGGAAAGAATAATGCCTAGTCCAGAGTTGGTTGTGTTTTTTTTTTCCCTTGGTTGTTTTAAATTTGGGGGCTGGGATCACACACAGAGGGCAGGGAGTCCTTTGTAGGCTGGAAAAGGAATAGGAAAACTAAAGAAAAACCATCTCCAGAAAAAGGGCAAGTTCACTGAGCGTCATACAGACTGACCTAAGACTATCGGGAGAAAGTTAATTTATACACTCATTTTACCAGGTACAAGTAACCCTGACAACTGATCCTGAGTTAACTCTTCAGTAAGCTCTAGAGCAGGAGCAGACAGGGCAGAGGAACTGAGCCTCCCACCCTGAGATGCAGGCAGGCAGTGGGACACGGCCGAGCTGTCTTGAAGAGCTAGCTGCCAGAAGAGCTTTCATGATGCCGAGTGCAAGCCTGCCAGGGTCACCACCCTTCCACCCCTATTTGTGAACCTGAAGCCAGTCACTTAGCCCCACTTTCTGATCTTCGGTGAGTGCATCAGCTGCATCCACCCCAATGGCACAGCAAAGCAGGTCCTGCCACAGGCGTCATGCAAGGCAGCTCATGGGCAGCTCAGTGTGGCAGCAGCTCCACTGTAGGCCACAGAGGCCCGGGAGGGAGCACCAATCTGTGGGACGGGTGGGGAAACAAACTGGAAGCCAAAGGAGAGGACAGCTGGGAGTGGGAGCCCCTGGCCTTTTTTTTTTCAGAATAGGGCAGAGGCACTCAGGCCCTCTGGACTGTCCAGAAAGAGACACAAGGCAACCTCTGACTGCGTAAGTATCCCAGGACTTAAGCCAATGGAGGGATTCACAGCCTTGAAGCCAGGAGTGAATTGTGCGACGTCTGAAGGAGGATGTCTCCAGAGGAGGACACAGAAGGGGGTTATAGCAAGGAAGACAGAATGATAAAAAACAAGACAACCCACCCCCACCTCCACCCCCTCACTCTCATTGCTGTGACTTGGAGGATAATGAAAGCCCGTGGGTAGGAGGATGTGGAAGCCTAAAAGGCTCTGTATGAGAGCATGCCTCCATCCCAACCCAGCCTGACGCCAGCGGGAGGGGCAGGCTGGAAGAACTCACCAGGTGCTGCATGCGAACAGCCTCCAGAGGGTAGTCTCCTTTGGCTGTCTCTCCAGACAGCATAATGCAGTCAGCTCCATCCAACACTGCATTGGCCACGTCGCTCCCCTCGGCCCGGGTGGGGCGGGGCTTCTTGATCATGCTCTCCAGCATCTGGGAGGGGACAGAGCATCAGTGAGACATGGCCTGGGCTGTCTTCAGAGACAAATGATTGCAAGCTGATCCCCTGGATAGTGGTAGGTGCAGGGGTAAAGAGGATGTGTGTGTGTGGGTTACAGGTTCCATGGGAAGAGATCAGGCACAGCCTCCAAAGCTTTCCTATCCAAGCATGCGAGTGTGCACAGGAGGACGTGGGAGGGACACATGCCTGTGTGGCACAGATGACAGGCTTCCCAGCTCGGTTGCACCGCCCAATCATCATCTTCTGAGCAAGGAAGACCTTCTCTGCAGGAATCTCAATACCTAGATCACCACGAGCCACCATGATCCCATCGCTGGCCTCCAGGATCTCATCAAACCTGACAGGGAAGGTGGGGAAGAGAAAGGCGGGGGGGGGGGGG